TATTTTAGTTCCAATCCAAGTTAAACACACCTGAATAAGCTAATCAAGCTCTTTCTAGGTATACTAGAAACTTCCAGGGAGGTTTGTCGAAGAAAGTTGGAGCTGAACTTTGCAGCACACCGGCCCTCCAGGATTGAGTTTGGACACCCATGTCTTAAATCTTAATTGGCTGGCGTTTGTTGTGATTGCATGCGCTTTCTTAAGTTGCAGCACGCCAAGCGCTCAGCCAATGTAATTTCCGGAGTGGTTGCACTGCATTCAGGGCATTTGGAGGGTGTGTGTGTATGTGTGGAACAGTGTTGAAATGTTTTTGAGGTGTTCACTCGTCTTCGTCGTCCTCCTCTTCCTCTCCGTCTGAGAGCGTGGGACAGGGGTGCATCTGCCGGTAGCCGTCCAGCCATTTCTCCAGCATCTGCGTGATGAGCGGGTGATGCCTGCGCCTGCTGCTCTTCTGCAGCGCCACCAACATCCCGCCGTCGGTAACGCAACAGTCCAGCCAGTGGCGGAGGAGACGCTCCTGCTGCTCCTCACTGCCCATCTGAAACACACACACACACAGGTTTGTTTATGTGAATTGTGGGGACATTCCATGAGTTTCCATTGTTTTATACTGTAGGCTACAAGCTGTATTGTCTATTGCTCTACCACAAAGATTTCCAAACTAGGGCCCGCGGGACAAAGTGGGCCCTTGGTAACCTTTAATTTTGCCCGCCAACCCATCTTAGACGAGAGGTAGTTTGTTGTTAACCTACTAAAAAGCAAGCCAAAATTAAATGTTTCAACTAAATGTTGTAAATGAATCAGATAAGATAAAAATCACGGTGACTGATGATAGAAGATAATGCAGCAGACATCAGCAGAGGCAGCTGCAGCTTTACTAGTGTATCCGGCATTGATCTCCATTGTGTTAGAAAGTGAATTATGTTTTTATTGTAATACGTGGATTATAAAATATAAACAATTGATTTATTCATATTAAATAATGCAATAGAAATTTTATTTATTAATAATATGAAATAATTTAAGAAATTACTCATGGTAACTTTAATAAACTTAAAAAAATAATAATAAATATATATATATATATATATTGTTACGACCCCCTCGTTCGAGTCGCAACATAAAAGAGTTCGGACAACAAAAGAATGTATATGCAACTTATTTATTATACATAAAACTAATTAGAACAACAAAATCAACAAACAAACAAATGTCTAGGGGAAAATAAAGAAAATAACTACTTTAACTACACAAATAAATAATGCTAAACAAAACCATAAGGTTGCAGAAATCAAGAGATGGTCTTGACTCGAGGACGGCCCGTAGCCACACCGTCCTCCAGAAGCTAGCACACACTCGCTTTTATATGGTTTGAGCCAATTAGTGAGCAACCAGGCACCCAATCAGGATCTGCCACATCCATACTGAAATCCTGGGGTCGTCACAATATATATATATATACATACACGCACACACACAAATATAAAAACACACAAATATAAATACATTTAAGCTATCTGATTAATTCACACTATTTAATTAAACACTCATTTAAGTCAGCTTTTAACAATAAAACAAACAAAAGGTTACATTAGATTTGAAACAACAATCTCTCTTCTTTCTAAGGGTGCTAAAAAATAATAACTTGGCCCAATAACTGCTCGTGTCCTTTTACAGATGCACTATTGAAAGTGTGCTGTCATATTGCATCCCAGTGTGGTATGCCAGTTGCACTGCCCAGGAAAAAGCTGCTCTCCAAAGGGTTGTCAACACAGCGCACAACATCATCGGCTGCACTCTTCCCTCCTCAGAGGAGTTGTTTAAGGCCCGCTGCTACAGCAATGCACGCAACATCCTGAAGAACTCATCCCATCCAGCATACCACCTATTTCAAATGTCACCATCAGGGAGACGATATAGGACCATAAAAGCTAAAACAAACAGAAAATAGTACATATCCAAGGGCTGTTGCAATAATGAATGGACTTTAAATCGAGGGTGTTTCTGGCCAAAATTAGGGGTGTCAAAATTAATTGTTTCTTCGGTGCACCGCGATGCAGACGCGGACAATTCTGTATGGGTTCAGTAATAAGCATAACCGGTTATTATGTACTGACGTCATTTATCTCCTATGCGCTCTGTCGCGAGGGAGGTGAGCGCGAGTATTTACAACACTCAGCCAACTCAGGGTCGGCCCATGGCATAGGCAACATAGGCATATGCTAAGGGCGCTGTACATCCAGTGGGGCGCCAGAAATGAGTGCGGTTCAGTTGGTTTTGTTTTCGATTTTCCTGACACACATTCAGTGATAGACGGCAATAACTCAAAAATGTTTCACAAAACGGAAAAAAAGAAGCACTTTTCCGACGGTCCCTTACTGAGAGCTCCTCTCAGCGCGAGCTCTGCCGGCTAAACACATATTGCGAGGGCTTAATAGGAGCAGTGCTCGTAGTGTGTGTGTGTGTTTTTGACTCTGAAAGTCACTCCCACACAGGCCCGGATTGGCTAATCGGGAGGACCGGGAGAATTTCCGGTGGGCCGGTCCGTTTTTTGGCCGCGAGGACCGGTGTCCCTAGCTCCAGAATCTGTTGCTCTCAGCAGTCACACTTTTTAAATATAATTTATTTATTTACTTGACCACAGCCTTCTTATTTATTATTTTACCGCAGCTCTGCTCTTGTTATCTATTTTCTCGTAACCTCGTGAGCAAGATGCAGCCTGCAGGTTAATGATCATATAACTAGATAAGTCACTGATTAACGTACAGCTGTTGTGGTACAGTGGTTAGCACGTTAGGTTAAGACTCGGTCAACCAGGGTTCGGTCCTCGTCTATGAAGGTTTTTTTTTTTTCCTTTTTATTGTTAAGACATTTAATACTGTAAGGGTTGTTGAACATTTGAAGTTCCAAAACAGCTGTTTTCTAAAAAAAAACAAAAACAAAAAAAAACATGATAGTGTATTTAGAAACTGAATTGGAAATGACCTTATTTTAAGATAGTCAGTGGTGAACTGAGGTGGGCCGGTCTAAGGCTTGAAACTCCAGGGCTGAAAAAGAGTCCCACTCCGGCCCTGCTCCCACACCACGCCTCTTTTCTTTCTACGACACTCCCCCCTAAACACAGCTGGACACGCCCACTTTTCTGACTTTTTCCAAAGTAGAGGTGTGAAAACACCCTGCTGAAACGAGGGGGTTTCATGGCCCTTTAAAGGTTACCATGGGCCAACTTTGGCCTGAGAAGTGTAGCTTGGGCATCTCTAATTGAGATCTTTTGTACATTTAAATAAACACAGGGTTCCCACTCTTTCATGGACACTAAACTCAAGGACTTTTTAAAATCATTAAAAATTTTAAATCAAGCACCTCAATTCACACCCCCAGCATATATAGTGCCATTAAAATCCTTCCTGCGCTTAACATTTCACTAACACCTAATATTTACAATGAAATGCCACAGTGATGTTTTGAAGGTGTCGTCCTCTTTGATAGATGTTTGTGTGCGTTTACCTCTTGTGCTGACAGGAAGTGAATTTGCAGCAGTTTCCTCTCGCTGTCCACCAGCGGCAGGAAGGTCACGGTGACGTCATCGTCAGTGTTGAGATTAGCGCCCGCGCCGCGATTATCGTAGCCGTCGCTCTCCATGCCAACCAAAGCAGAAAAATGACCTCGTGTGTAGCCCAGAGCGATCGGGCTCTTCCAGCAGAAGCTCTGCTCCCACAGCAGCGGCAGATACACACCTGCACACACACACACACAAGCAGGCAGATACACACACACAGGTTAACATACACACATAAAAGCACAAATACATGTACACCAGAGGTCGCGTTAACTGAATATTTTCCGTCAATGACGGATTTTTTTCAGCAGTGAAAGAAAAATCTGAAGGTGATCCGTCATTTTGACGGATTATGCTGAGGGGGATCTATTGTAATTTATAGCTAACTGTAATTCCCACTCCTGTCCAGCAGATGGCGATTGCTCTTGTTTTGTCTCATCTTTGTGATCGCTGCATACAGTTGCAAATATCTCACAGCAGCTGAGAAGTTTCTTTAAACGGCCAAATGGTTGTGATATTAATAATGAAGATGGAAAAAAGAGGAAGTGATGCAGTGGACGATGAAGAACAAACAGACAAAAATACGATCCAACCAAGCGGCAGCTAGCAAGGAGGTCAGGTTTATTGTTTTTATATTGATGTTCTTGTGCACGACAAAATAATCGATTCATTTTTAGTAGGGATGTAACGGTATTGTAAATACCGTCATACCGTAATATTAATTTTTTTCGATATTACCGAAGTCGCATGACTCGGTAAAACTATAGGTCTTCTAAGAAAATTTGCTCAGGCGAATGAAGCGAGCGGGAGGTAGCGAAAACTACAATTCCCATCAGCCCATGCTTGACCGTCATCCCTTGCGGTCTGTTGTCGCTACAGATCCAGTAATGCGGAAATGGAGTGTGCTGCTAGAAGCGGGGATGAAAAAGAGCTGGAAAACTCTAAAGCGGGTGTTGTCGCCACGCGCGTACTGAATAGCGGTGTTGTCGCGCGAGTTCTTATCAGCTGTGTTGTCGCCGCGCGCGTTCTGAATAGCGGTGTTGTCGCGCGAGTTCTTATCAGCTGTGTTGTTGCGCGAGTTCTTATCAGCTGTGTTGTCGCGCGAGTTCCTATCAGCTGTGTTGTCGCGTGAGTTCTTATCAGCTGTGTTGTCGCGCGAGTTCTTATCAGCTGTGTTGTCGCGCGAGTTCTTATCAGCTGTGTTGTCGCGCGAGTTCTTATCAGCTGTGTTGTCGCGCGAGTTCTTATCAGCTGTGTTGTCGCGCGAGTTCTTATCAGCTGTGTTGTCGCGCGAGTTCTTATCAGCCGTGTTGTCGCGCGAGTTCTTATCAGCCGTGTTGTCGCGCGAGTTCTTATCAGCCGTGTTGTCGCGCGAGTTCTTATCAGCTGTGTTGTCGTGCGAGTTCTTATCAGCGGTGTTGTCGCGCGAGTTCTTATCAGCGGATTTGTCGCGCGAGTTCTTATCAGCTGTGTTGTCGCACGAGTTCTTATCAGCTGTGTTGTCGCGCGCGTACTGAATAGCGGTGTTGTCAGCACACTGTTCAGATTGATGCAGACATGAGATCTCTATCTTACTCATGGTTTGTCCTCTTAAGTGGGGTAAAGACAATGCACAACGTTACCCACTGCTGTCAACCTGGACAAGTCATATCTCTCTTGTCCCAGAAACCTCAGTCCCAAATGAGAGGGTTTTTTTCTGTTGCAGGGGACATTGTAAATACCCAGAGATACCAGCTTTTACCAGATTATATTTATATGATCATTTTCCTTTAAACCCATCTCTATCTAAGTGAGTGAGTGATTAAATGTTGAATGTGATGAGTTTTCAACAATACTAAATTGAAACTTTATTTTTTTACATGGTTTAATATTTTTTTGTTATTAAAATTGAAGTTCCTGTTTCAAAGCTTACAGATAGATGGCTAATTTGTATGTCATTGACACTTTTGGCACTTTTTTAGAGTATTTTCATAAGTTTTGTGTTTTCCTGTAGATGATTCAATAAATACCGTACCGTGACATTCATACCGAGGTATTACCGTACCGTGAAATTCTGATACCGTTACATCCCTAATTTTTAGTATTATTTGTTTCCTGCGATCAGTAAACGTTTATTATTATTTATTTTGTCCTTTGTTTGATTATTTTGTTTATAGGATATTTATGATGTTTGCATTTTATTCAAAGGTTAAACGCAGTGCCTACACTTTGTGTTAACATTATAGCCTGCGTTTGCTGTTATATAAATTCAAATGGTTTTAATACCATGTATCAGTAGCTATGTTTCCATCCAAAAATGCGAATAAACTTTGTGCAAAACTGGATTATCGCATAAAAGTTGTGCGAATGAAGCAGCATTTCCATCCAACGAGTCAAAGCGAACAAAATCGTCACCTCCTGATTAACTGGCGCCAGATATCAACAGTAAAAACTGCATTTGCTGCAGTAGGAGAAGCTGCATCAAGCTTTTCTAAATGAATGCGCCTCAGAAGACAATCCTGATATGCAGTGAGCGCGCAGTGGCGTTTGAAGGTGTCAGACGCGGAGCACAGGCGCTCTTGATTCTGGAGGTCATTAATAATATAATAACACTAATACTGAAATGGTAAGGCGTTTTATAATGACCAAAACAACATTTCAGATGTTTTATAATGTGCTCAGCCTGACGTTTTGTCCATTCACACACTTTTTAAGCATCACATAATCTCTTTTAACAAAATCACATGACCCTATTTTAATGCGCATGCTGGAGTTTGTGCGGTAAAAGTGTTTCCATCGCAGTTTATGCGCATCTTTTCTTATCGAATAAAAAGTTTATCCTACCCAGTTAGGCGCATAATTTTTTTTATGCGCATTTTCAAAATGCGCATCTTGCCGTTTCCATCAACTGTTGTTTTTGTGCCCATTTGCAAAATAAAATAAAATAGGTGGATGGAAACATAGCTAATGACCAAAGTAATACCAAAAGCTTTCATGTGAAGGTATATGAAGACTAAGTCGCGCCAGCTTCAGGACGCAGCGCACATTACTTGCGGGCCAATTCTGGCTCAGATGCGGCAGCGTCGGCTTGCTTACGAACGCCGCATCTGGCCCGATTTACTCGGGTCGGAATCGGGCAGTGAAAATCGGGCCCGAGTACGGCAGCCGGAGTCTCCGGCAGGCGAGAATCTAGCCGGAACTGGCTCGAGTGTATTTCGCTATATAGGGTGCGTTGTGAGCACTACCGGACTCAGAGGGGTGCAGAAGGAGCGCGTGCTGTAGTACTTATTTCTGGTGAAACGAGTTCTTGGAGGATCGGGAAATCCCACATTCAGAGAATCCACTTTCCAATCACAGCCTTAGGAGAAATGTTTCCTAACTTAAAAACGCTGGCTGAAGTGGCGCTAGAAAATACGGTCTTTGGTCACGAGAAGTCGACTTTCCGAGGCAAAGACAGTCTTCCTTGATGCGTTTGATTACGCACAGGCAAGCACCCAGTTCAGGTCGACACAGGAGGAAGATATGAGTTAAAGCAGGCAGGAGTTTTTGTTCGTTTCTCAAATACATAATGAATAATTTAGCCTATATGCTCGTCGTCCAAGTTCATTATTAAAATATGAATGAAAAAAGCGATCAGAAAGTCTGCAAATTAAATAACGATCAATAATAAGTTATGACGGAAATTTTACAACCCTCTCCATCACAATGACGCACAATGAGAAAGTCTATTGCGACCTCTGATGTACACAGACATGCTCACATACACACAAGTGCATGCAAACTTACACATGAACGTGCAAGCATAAACACACACATATGCACATATACACACACACACACACTTGTCTCACCTTGAAATCGAGTGTAGCCTAAAGTGTCTCCTCTGAAGCTCTTGTAATACTTCACTCCGTAAACGATGATGGGCCGCCGCAGGATATGAGCCAGAACAAATATATGAGTCTGCTCCAAACTGGCCCCGGGCTGCAGCATTACCAAGACGTTACACAACAACATTCAGTGTTCACAGTGTGTGTGTGTGTGTTTGTATGTGTGTGTGTGTACCTGGCTGGCGAGGTTGAGGATGAAGGTCCAGTCCTCCTGCCACTGCTCCTCTCTAAGAGAAAAGTGAAGCCCGAAACTCTGAGAATACCAGGACTCCCACTCCTTCCAGCGCGTGTAAAACCTGCACACACACACACACATTAAATAAGACATCTCTACAGGAGGCAGATATAATCCAGCAAGTGTGTGTGTGTGTGTGTGTGTGTGTGTGTGTCCGACCAGTGAGAGCAGTCGTGTAAGCTGTCATGTAGCGTCTTCCTCAGCACAGAGTCTTTATCATAGATGCCCCATGTGGCCTGCAGCACCGAATCCAGCAGGCAGTCTCCAGCGGTGCGGTTCCACAGCGCATACAGACGACTGTCCAGACGAGAACCCAGCTCCAGAGACCAGTTGATGACCGCTGACTCCTCCTCCAGCTCTGCACACACACACACACACACACAAACACACAAGTCAACACCCATATAAGTGAACAAATAGCAGACACACACAAGTAATCACATGCACACACACACCCAAACGGACACATATGCATACACCCACGAAAACACAGACATGAACACATTAGTGAACAAACACACGACTGAAGACACGCAAAGACACCAGATACACACAGGTAAGCACATACATACACACACACACACACACGTGTGTGCATGAGTAAACAAACACACACAAGTCAACAAACAAAAAAACAAGCACACATCAGACACACACACACACTGAACACAAACACATACACAAAGGACACAAACACACACACACACTGCTCACCCTTCTGAACGTCGCGGTCCAGCACTTCATCAAACAGCTTCTCCTGAACGGCAGGAGGAAGATCTTCAATATCTGTCCAAAACAGAAGCCACACACACACACACACACACACACACACACACACACACACACACACACACACACACACACACACACACACACACACACACACACACACACACACGTTTATTTGGTCCTCACGCCTGTTTGTTGGCCGTGCATGTGTGTACAGAGTGTATTGTGCATGTGTTTGTGTGTGAGTGTGTATGAGAGTGTATATATTGTCAATGCAAGGTGTGTGTGTGTGTAGTGTTCATGTGTGTAATGTGATTGTGCATGTGTATGCAATGTGCATGAGCATATGTGTGTGAGTGAACAGTATGCATGTGTGTAGTGCATGATTGATTGTGTGTGTATGTGTAGTCTGTGTGTGCATGTAAGCATGAGTGAAAGTGTCTGTGTGTGTGTAGTACATGCATGTAGTCTGTGAATGCATGTGTTGGTCTTTCTTTGTGTGTGTGTGTGTGTGTGTGGTGCATGAATGAGTGTGCGTGTGTGTATGCATCTGTGTATTCTGTTATTCTGTGTGTGTGTGCATGTTTGTAGTGAGTATGTGTGTGGTACATGCATGTAGTCTGTACATGCATATGTGTGTGGAGTGTGCATGTGTGTAGTGCATGAATGAATGTGTATGTGTGTTCGTGCATTCATGTATTCTGTGTGTGTGTGTGTGTCTGTGTGTGCATAAATGTGGTATATGATAGTAGTTTGTGCATGCATGTGTTGGTGTGTGTGTGTGTGTGTGTGGAGTATGCATGTCTGTAGTGTATAAGTGTGTGTGCGTCTCTGACCTGCCGGCAGTGTGAACGTGACGAGGTCTGTCAGGAAGTAGCAGTTGAAGTCTCCTTTGCGCTGGTGCAGTGAGGAGCTGATCTCTCTGCGGATCTGCTCCGTCAGCTCGGGACAAACCATCGCTGGGATGCATTTGACGGCCCGCTGGGACACCTGAACACACACATAAGCAGTCAACACACCCTCCACAGCATCAAACAGCCCAAAATCCACACACACACACGACATACAGTACATATGGTTTTACAAGGACTCTCTATAGGTGTAATACATTTTATTCATTAACTACCCTAAGCCCTAAACCCAACCATTAAATTAAACCTGTGGCATTTAAAATGCGATAAGACCCCGTTAAGCATTATTTTAAGTGTTTTGATTTATGAGGACACAAGGCATGTTTACATAAACCACCTTAAGAGAACAACTAGGTCATACTCATGACATTATACAAATTTCAGTCCTTGTAAACCACCAACATCACTATACACACACACACACCTCTGTGAGCAGGATGGCGAGCATGTCCTGCCTCTGGAATCGGATGGCGAGATGAACGAGTGTGAAGCCGCTGTCGAACGCTGAGGGTCGATTCAGGAGACGCACCTCATCTGCGTTCAGCTGACGTGCAATATCACCACCTGAAGACTTGTAGGCCTCGACTGCAGACAGATCTCCTTCAACTACACCTGCACACACACACACATACACAAACACACACATCAGTCCAGCGCTCTATCATTCTCACAGTTTAATGATGCTCTGAGAAATGGCAGAATATTACAGTGATGATCAAGCATGGGGTTTTTAGAGAGTAGGGATGCAACGATTATGGATTTTGGTTGTACGATTATAGTCTGAGGAATAATCATGGTTATCACAATTGTTGTGCATTCATTAATTTTAAAACACTACTAGTTTAGAAAAATCACATGAAAACTCCTTATATTTTAAAGTGTTATTTACTGCTGCTCGGTCACCAAATACAGCACAAAATATTGATTAAAAAACAAACTAACAATAGTCCATTTGTCTCTTTGGACTTATTTATAAGTGAAAAAAAAATGGGAAATTAAACAGAAGCAATAGTTTTACATTGAAAATAAATGTCAGAACAATGATAAAAATAAATGAATAAATAAAAAAAGAGTATTTGTCTCATGTAAATCTAAGCATCATATTAGCTAAGTATTTCCCTTTTAAAGAGGACAAATGTAGACAAAAGCTGCCGAGGCTCTGTCTGAAGGGCATATTTGATCAAATATATTACAAAATTGTTTGGTGTTTTTCATTTAGCATTGTTTTGTCTTTAAAGGAGAAATGAATGTATTTTCCATTCAAAGTATGAAACTGATTGGTCAGTTGTCGCGGTGCGCTTACACACTGTACTGTAATGTAATGTTGCAAAGTATTATTAAGTACATTAGATTTACATACACTTTACAATAATGTCTTAGTAATATTAAAATCAACAGTGAGAAATAACCTCATTTATTACAGATACTGTGTTAATGTTATTTAGAAAAATACAACAGAAATTGACTAGTTATTAACTAAATTTATAAAACAATTGTGACCTTTAACATCACTGACAAAAAGCATTAATTTCATTCATTCATTCATTCATTATTTATTTATTGCCATGTCAGCTACTAAGGCTACAAAAAGCATTAACATTGTCTGAGATTAATAAAGGCTTTAATAGTTTTCATTGTGAGTTTAGTATAACTAAGTAATGTTAATAATAAATATAGCCTTAAACCAGTTAAGCTCTGCTGTTATTTTGGGATTTCCGCCTGGATTTTGCCTAGCCAAATTTAAAAGCTTCCCATTTCCACATGCAGAGGTGTAAATGGTATAATTTTAAAGAAAACCCTTTGAATTTTCATAAAACACTATTGAAAGTGTTTAAAATAACTGTATATGTTGTCTGTGTTATAATAAATACCTAAAAAAAGAGGCGCTTTTAGTATTTTTTTTGCATAAACTCAAATGAGAAAGTGTCCCCTTTAGGTTCTGTGTGGTCTAGCGTGCTGTAATTAATGTTGGTGGTTTCTGCACATGTCTGTAATCATAGGAAGAAAGAAAAATGTCTCCACCATAATCTATGCAGAAGTTATTGTTCTCCAACTGATGAGAGGTGCTGTACAAGCCACAGGGAGCGATCATTGTTTTCAGATTTCACTATTCTTTTGTTTGATCAAACATAATTCACTGTGTTTGGAGCACGTCAGACACATTAAAGGATTACTTATGCACATCACCTCAAAAACAGAGGAGAATGGCCCTGAAGCACACAGCATAAGGTGAGAGATGACAGCTGTCTGTGCTATCTGGGGCTGCTTATTGATCATTAATGTATTGTTTTCACTTCTGCGCCATGGAAACACCGCGATTCATTCAGAAACTGTTTGATATGTGAATATAATTCAGTAAAAACAATGCTAGAACCGTATGAGCACCGGCAAGAGCTTTCATTTGAGCTATAACTTGTACATGTGTCGTATGAAAAATATGAAAATAAACCAATGTTCAACACCCAGCTCCGGTATCCAAAATACTGTGTATTTAAGTGTAAATTACTTTTGTACAGTAGAATAAAAACCAAAGTGATGCATATGTGCATAAAATATAGATTCTACACCTTTAAACAAAACCACTTACGGGGGTCTGGTGCAATGCTGGCCCTTTAAATCTTGAAGCGAAAGTCGATGACGTTTAACTGGTTAATGTACAGTGTTAACAACAGGCCAATAAACGGTTTTCAATATCTAGTGCAGGATATAATACACTAGATTAACTTGTGCAAACGTTTGTTTAAAAATTAACAGCCTACAGTCCTTCAGCATTTGGGGCTGTGATGAACATACAGGATTCTGATATATATTAACAGTACATTCTATATTATAGCAAATTTAAATGATAAATAGCTAGTTACTATATTTTTAAAGTGCCCATGATTACAATATCATACATGTTTATTTATCGCAATATATTTGCATTATTGAACATCAAGTCTACCGGAGACACAAGGAGAAATGATCAACTGTCTGAATATCTGCACTGTACAGAACACGACACACTCTCACGCACACACACTTTTGAATCAGCGGAAAGGTCACTATCACTCACGTGTGTGTGTGTGTGTTTACATGTTGTCTGCTGAGATATTTATGTGTATCAAGCATTTCAGTGTTTACAGCAGTTAGAATGACTCCAAACACTCAATCCTCTCAATACTAATACTCAATAGTTGTTATATACACAATGGTAACTTATTTACACTTATTGTAATACATAATGCACATTATGAATAATTCAACAATGATGAATAATAAATAATGCTGTCCTGAAGCTCAAACGGTGCGTTATGGCACTTGTATAAGACCAACGTCACATATGTGATCCCCAGGAAATGCAGGAGCTGAATAGATGCCATGCAAGTGCCTGGTAGTATACTATTACATACAGTATGTTCCAGTCTTACTTAACCCTGCTATTATATGCTGATAAACAAGCATGTAATTACACACATTCAGGCTTGTGCTATTTTTAAAATGAAGTAGAGCAAAACAAAACATAAATGTTTATTGTTATCCCATAGCATAATTTAACAAATCCCAAAGTATCATGTAAAACACCTGTTACTCTGTTAACTATATATATTATATATGAAATATGTAGAATTGCACATAGTATTTTAATAATAATTTGACTGATGCATTATTATTCATCTTTAACCTTCTGTATGCAGCAGAAAATAAATACATGGATGAATTTTTTTTTAATTAAACAACATTTAAACACATGCATTTATTAATGTACATTTAATAACATGCACCCTTGGTAAAGTTAATTTGGAATTATAACTGTGAATAAACTTGAATTTAATTTTGTATAATTTATGTCATGTTTTGATTCCTATTTATGCATAATACATTTTCATTTTCTCTTATTTACTGTACACGTACACTACCTGACAAAGTCTTGTTGTGGATCTCAGTTGTAAGAGCAACAAATAATAACTTGACTTCTAGTTGATCGTTTGGGAAAATAGTCAGAAGGTGGATTTTTCCCATGAATCTTCTGTTAATCTGCATCCCAATCATCACAAACACTGCAGAAGACCTACTGGAACCAGCATGGAGCCAAGATTCTTACAGAAATCAGTCAAGTTTGGTAAAGGAGAAATCATGGTTTGGGGTTCATTCAGTATGGGGGTGTGCGAGAGATCTGCAGAGTGGATGATCAACATCAACAGCCTGAGGTATCAAGACATTTGTGCTGCCCATTACATTACAAACCACAGGAGAGGGACAATTCTCCAGCAGGATAGCGCTCCTGCTCATACTTTAGCCTCCACATCAAAGCTCCTGAAAGCAAAGAAGGTCAAGCTGCTCTAGGATTGGCCAGCCCAGTCACCAGGCATCAACATTATTGAGCATGTCTGGGGTAAGATGAAGGAGGAGGTGTTGAAGATGAACACAAAGACTTGATGAACTCTGGGAGTCCTGCTGAAGGCTTTCTTCTTCATTCCAGATGACTTTAATCAGTGATGTGAGTCATGTCAGAGATGTATGGATGCAGTCCTCCAAGCTCATGATGGAGTCAGACACAATATTCATTCTGTCTCCACTGCAGCAGGACTTTATATTCTATACTGGACATTATTTCTGTTCACTGATGTGACTTTAGTCTAAGCAGAGTCAGACCTTACTGTCCTAATGAAATCAGCCAACATCAAGGCATGATTAGATTTTCATCGTCCTCTACAGGCCTTTGCCTTTCATATAAGCCACTTCTGATACTAACTAGAAGTCAGCTTGTTATTTGTTATTCCTAAAACTTGGATAGACGACAAGACTTTGTCAGGTAGTGTATTATTTTGGCCTCATATCTGCATCAGCCAATAGAAATTCCATAGTGGTCAAACACATTAGGGAATTAGGGAAATGCATAAACACAAATATAACTGGACAGCTGTCTAACAACACACCTGTCAGCGCACTTCTGTGCTGTGTTTTCACCATAAGACACACATCTGACATCTAACGTTGCCATATGTTTTGTTATTCTGTGATATACACTGCATTTAATTTCTCTAATGACTTATATATCTCTAAACATAAAGAATTGATTGTTGGGATGCTTCTGTAATGAAGTGCATTTGCATAAAATCTAATAAACAACCTATAAACGTAGATAAATTCAATACAGATAAATACACTATTGAAATAAACAGTGTTTTAATGTTTTTCCCAGTCTAACAGTATTCAGGTGCAGTAACTTAATAATAAAAATAAAAATAAGCATTATTGAAGTTTACAAAAAGTACCATTTCTTACTTCTGAATGCTTTTTAAACCCTTATACAGTCACAGGCCTTAAAAACACATGCAAATAATACAAATTCAATATTGCATATCCTGTGATGTGATCATTCGCAGTAGTCACATCGCCATATGGAGGCTGAAACGATATATACTGTGCACACTAATACACATGTTTGTCCTGCCAGTGGTGATTTACACACAGAGCAGTGTGAATGTCAAGACTCCAGCACAAGAAGCAGACAAAAAACAATGAAGCTCCTCATGAGATCAGTGCATGGAAACACAGCGGGATCCCACAATGCAACACTGCTTAAAAACAATGAGCAGCTCATCTGTCAAAGATGATCTCATAAGGAATAACGTCACTCTCGTCTCTCCTAAACAACCGCACCACACACAAAACTCCATTAAGCAGACTTTGAGCATCCATCATTTCTACAGACACTGTAATTATGTCGTCACATTATGTGACAACTTTTTTTTAAAACACAATTCGACTTGTTTAGTGGTGGCAAAACAAGTCGTTAGCACTGTGGCCTGTTTGCATGTTCTCTCCGTGTTGGCGTGGGTTTACTCCGGGTGCTCTGGTTTCCCCCACAGTCCAAACACATGCGCTATAGGTAAAGGTATCACGATCCTCTAAATCCTCGATTCGATTACATTTTCGATTCTAAAGTCACGGTTCGATTCGATTATGATTAATTAATTAATTAATAACGAATTAATTATTTATAGCCTACTGTTTAAACTACCTGACCTGCATGGTCTTTGTTTTACACATAAACAAATCATAAAGGCAAGTTACACACATAATTACCATCTGTCAATCACTTTTTCTGCGGGACTCGTGAATAGGCAGTGATCTGTGTCGTTATAATGGCATTGGTCAAAAAGGTGCACAACCAATAGGAACCAGCCAACAGTATCTGAGGTGTTCGTACAAGTGAGTGAAAGATTGAAGCAGTCTACTGACCCGCTGACTGCCTGGACCCGCTGTCTCGAGCGCATGACGGTGTGTGCGTCTGTGTGTAAATGAGTGTGTGTGGTCACGTGATGTGCGTTTTCAGGGTAGTGAGGAAGGAGGGCTGCTCAGAAATGCTAAACGCCACTGTGGATGTGGATTTTTGTCGTTGTAAAATGCCATTTAAAAACAAAGACATATTAGTGTAAACAGGGCCTGAGTGTGTACTTTTCGCGAGCGGATTTGCAACGGGGGCGGGGCGGAGGATTGCGATGCGCCCATCGTCTATCGGCCCAACCCCAATACGCAATAGCAGAGCTTGCAAACTGTGTTTTTTTGTCAACAACACGAACGTTGTCAACATAACTCACTGGAAATCCAAAATACTTCCACACCTGCGACTTCATTGAAAGAGGAGAGGGTTTAAGCTCTGTCGACGGGTCTCCTGCTTCTGCAGTTTAACAAGCACTTCAACAAGCCTGTTTTTTTCCCGCTTGGCAAGCCAAGCTGACGTGACATGGGGGCGTGACAGCATCGACGATTTAATTTTTTGATTCGATAATTGAAATTGAGCAGAAATTTTGATCAAATTGATTTAAAATTGAAATCGTGACACCCTTAGCTATAGGGGAATTAATTCTGTTCAAAAGCCAGGTGAGCAACACAACTTTCTAAAGCTAAAGCCTTCTTTTTCCATTACGTAGTTAATAACGAAAGATTTGTTGCGTGACCTTGCGTTGTTTCCATGTCACTTCTCGCATTTGTTTGGTTGTGAGAAGTAGTTTGGACGAAGTTGTCATGCAGTGTGAACTCACCTGTCGCTGATCCATCCTACAGTTTAAACAAAGCAGCGACAGAACGCTAACCCAGATAGTAATGCAGTGTGAAAACATGTGACACGAATACTTTGAAAATCCTGCAGTCTGATCTCGGCATTAATGACATGCACAGATTAATTGTTCACCACAAAACTAGCCATGTGAGCTAACAAAATCAATATGCTTAGTTTTGATTCCATGTGTACTTTAAGGAGACACTCACCAGCACATGCGTTGAGAAACAGCCAGTCTGTTTTCCTCATGCGGTTCTTGATCTGCTTGATCTTCTTGAAGTCCATCTCCTCTGGGCGGCTGTGAGCTCCGGCCGCCAGCTCAATCTGCAGCTCAGCCTCGCGTCTGGAGGACGGAGGCGAGTGTTTCTGTGCTGCTCCACACACACCTCGCCCAGGTGAAGGCTCCTCAGGCTCGGGCGGCAGAAAGGTGTCGTTGGGTCTCGGATGATCACACACCACACAGCGAAACGATTTGAGGGCGTTCTCGTACGTGCAGGCCAAGCAGGTCCAGCACTGCGTCCGCGTGTTCAGCCGGTTCCTGTCGTTATATTCCTCACAGGGATCCACCGCTGGAGCAGATGCAGGTCTTCGGAGGGTGCTGGAGGTCTGAGGGGTATCTGTAGGGCTGGAGACACGCTGACGGAGGCTGCGGCACTGGGTACATCGCACGGCTCGGGGCCAGTTCAGGTAGGTGCACACCTGTGGGTTTGGTTTGTTTAGTTATTAATCCCCACATCAGCAACTTATGGTTTATATTAAAAATGTCAGAGTTATTGTCAAAAATTGACCATTTTAAAAAGTCGTGTTCAAAAAAACATTAATAAAATTGTTGAACTCAATACTGGTGAGGGTGGCACAGTGGTTAGCACTGTCGCCTCACAGCAGCAAGAAGGTTGCTAGTTTAAGTCCCGACTGTGTGGAGTTTGCATGTTCTCCCCGTGTTGGTTTGGTTTTTCTCCGGGTGCTCCGGTTTCCCCCACAGTCCAAACACATGAGCTATAGGTGAACTGAATAAACTAAATTGGAATGAATCAATACTGGTGATATTCAAATGCGGTTTCTGAAATATTAATAAATTGTGCATCATTTGTCAGCATTATTGTTCAATATTTAAGGTTTTAATTTAAAAAATTCAGTTTTAGACAAACGAGAACAATTGTTGAAATAATAGCATGAATAATTTAAATTTCAAATTTATTTCTAGGACTTTTAAGGACCTCTGTTTGTTTTTAAATGATTCCAAGACGTTGAATCCACATGTCTGAAATTAAGCACTTCCAAGAAGTGTGGGAAGCCTGTAAAGATTATAAGTTACAAAAATGTTTACTAAAACATTAGATGTGATTTTTTTAAGGATGCACAATATACGGTTTCAGCATCGACATCGCTATGTGCACATCTGCAATAGTCACACCTCAAGATTTACAATGTTGAGTCTGAATTATAGATGATCAGGATCCACTATTAAGTTTAACTATAATAGTGTGAAAGTTTATCATTTGCACGTGTCAGGGTTTCTGCAGATATCATAATATCAAATTTAAGACTTTTTAAGACCATTAAGTATTAAAATTTAGACCTATATCACAATACCAAAAACACGCGAGAGAAAATGCAAAAAATCACAAAATTAGTGGTAAAATAAATTTATTTAAAATGAACAGTACTAAAGACAGGTTAGATGCACCATTTAACTAAAAAAAAAAAAATAAAAAACTCTTATAGCTGATCTATACTTTCGCCTGGCGCTGCATTGAGCACCTCCGCTGACTGCGCGCGCACCTCACGAAACGGACGAGGCTTTTATACTTGGCGTGTTCACCATTGTGATATTCTTTAAAATGACAGGAGCCAGTCAAAAGAAACTGACCGTGAAGACTGATGGATAAACGGAGAAGTAGGGAGTTTCCGGAACTACGTCATATCATTACTATCATTCAAGATTTTTAAACGAATTATTTTTTATTATTTTTATAATGATTATAAAGGTTTTTATAACCATTCAAGCTTTTTCAAATCAAACTTTGATGCATCAATTGCTTTTGTTCATATCTCAGACAGTTCTACCTATTAAAGTTAAATATCAATGACTACAGAAAATGAGTTGCTCTACAATTATATTTTTTTAACATGGCAAGAATAAAAGCAGAAAAAAACATACTAAAAATACTGACTTTTTAATTTTTTTTGTGCCCACTCAACAACTGACACATTACTGGCTGGCTAGTTTCTGTACTCTTCTTATAAGCTAAAACGGGAATAATGGTCCAACATTCCTGAGCATTATCACCAATAAAGCCAAGAAAAACAGGCATCTGTGTATTGTAAACCGATAAGTTCAAATAAATATTCTATAAAAAATATTCTTTTCCAGCTATCAAAGAAATAATTTGTTCCTTAATTATAGTTTTGTAACTATTAATTTGTTTTAAATTCAAAATTGTAATATATACATCAGTGTAAAACCTATAAATGGTGGGAAAACATATTCTGTAATTATGTACGTGGGTCACTTTTGCAAAAATTGTGTGCTCCGCCAGCCAAAATCATGTCGCGTGCACCCATAGCGAAAACTTTCTGATGACGTCACATTCGCCGCACGCACTGAGTTTACTAACAGAAAGCTGATTGGCTATAGCATGTTGGTCTCATTTGTAGTTGCAATAGCACAAATTGCATTAGGACTAGTGAAATAAAGAACTACAACACCACGAAAACCAAGCAACAACAAAAAGAATTTAAATGAGCATTAGATGTAGCGTTACATGGACACTGAAAAAATAAGACCAGTGCCAAAATATTTAAGACCTAGAACAGCGAGTTTTGGGCTTTTTAAGGCTTAAAATTTCGATTCTTAAATTTGAGTCTTTTTAAGAGCTTGCGGAAACCCTGTTAACCATAATAGTGTGAAAGTTTATCATTTACATGTGTTTTTAAAGCCTGTGCATTTCAACATTTGGAATAAATAAATGATGTTTGGAGGCATAAGAAAGATTAACTGAATTGAATTATTTATAAAAAAAAAATTGCCTTAATAATTTTTACTTATTTAGACTTTTTGTTATTTCTAGTCCAAATATCTACATTTCAAAGTAAAAATAATGTTATTTTAATTACTCAATTTGCTGAAATTGTAGCTTGTTTTAAGGAAAAACTCTTAATTGTGACATATGAAAGATTTTGTTCATTTTAGTTCAGTTGCATTTATGATGGGGTGACCTGTGCCTCAACCCCCACAAACTGATAGGTGTGAACTAAATGACACTTTTACAATCTCAATTGGTGTTAGCAAAACAACAGCTGAAACATCTGATAAGAGGGTCCTGCTGAGCCTCGTAAAATGGTTTGTTTGATGCTAGTATAAAGTACTGTCTCACAGACAGTACTTTGGGTTAAGTTACTTGAAGACCGACGGGTTAAGGCTGATTTATACTTCTGCGTCAAACACCGGCGTATGCTACGGCACTGACGCATAGCCCTTCGCCGTGGCCATCGCCGTCACTGACGTGCACCTCTCAAAAAATGTAACTACACGTCGCAACGACGCGTAACGTAAGCTCTGTGATTGGTCAGCTTGGTAGCGCTGACGAGTCTGGGCGGGACCGAGAGCCGCGCGAATGGCGCGACGCCACGCGAGCGATTGTTTACAAGTGTGGAATCCTGTGAAGGAGCTCCGGATGGAAAGTTTTATTTTTGTGTTTACCTCATAGTTAAAGTTGTTGCACGTCCGCCGGTTCCTGCCTCAAAATGAGCGAGTTTGAGCCACTTGTACATCCCGGAAGTGTTCAGGAAAAGCAAAAAAGTAGCGAAGAAACTCGACACAGAGGAACATTTACACCTCACTGCCAACTAGCGTTTCGGAAGTGTTAATGCAGACCGACAGAGACAGCAGCAGAAGTATAAATGAACAGCCACGCGTGTTGCCTGCGCCGTGGGTTACGCCGGTCACCTGACGCAGAAGTATAAATCAGGCTTTAACATCACTGCTGAGGAACTGCACTATTCATTGTCTTCAATAAAGTCTTCTCCCCGTAAGAACTTTGGTCAGCTTGCTTATTTCATGTATTAGAGTCATCTGATACATTGGCGAGCCACTCAAGAATGGTTAAGCCAAATACAGCAAAATCTAACACATATTACTTATGAAGGTGAAAATAAAACAATATTTTTACTTGATTAAGACTTCTTAGAAACTAAAGAAGAGACTAGAAGCGAGACAAAGAAAAGCTTTTTTTTTTTTGCATTGTGATCATTCAATTTCTGTACCTGAAAACTGTTAGACTCCCCAGAAAACTATTCAAACCATCTGATGAACTCTTTGCATCACAGAAAGCTTACAGTTTTACAATATAATAATTTTTCCAAATATTGTGCAGCTCTAATTTGTTTCTAATAAATAACTTGGGTGCAGACCTGACACGACCACTTCCCGCTGGGCTCGGAGGACTCTGCGGGACGCACACGAGGCCGGGCGCTGGAGTCAGGGCAGATCAGCAGGCTGTCGCTGCGCTCGGGCTCCCATGGGTGTCCTGCACGCGGGCCGGTGCTGCTCGGGAAGGACTCCTCTGTAATGATGGTGCCACTAGGCCCTGCGCTCGACACATGGTGCATTTAATAGCAGACGGCCAGTTCTCAAATGTGCAGTATTCACATGACCACTTCACACACAAATCTGTCATGATGGATCAACACACACACACACACACACACGCGCGCACACACGCACACTCACACGCACACACACGCACTCACACACACGCACACGCACGCACTCACACACGCACACACACACGCACACGTACACGCACTCACACACGCACACACACACACACACGCACTCAAACACACACTCACTCACTCACTCACACACACACACGCACTCACACACACTCGCTCGCTCACTCACTCACTCAACGATACACACTCAAATCAGTTGCACACATCAAGAGAATCTGCAAACACAAAACAGAGGGAGACACGTCAACTAGGGCTACACAATTTATCACAAAACTATAGTTATGGTGATAATAGTACAATATGTTTGCAATTAACATATCACAGACATTTCATTAATGCAGTGGTTGTTTATCTAAATATGATCAGTCAGGTGGGACTTTACTATCTTTATCCCCACCTCCCTAATAATAGCTGTTCTGCTACTGGTTGGAGCCCAAAGGTGAACCCAGAGCTGAAAATAAACAATAATGGCAGCAGTTGAGACAAAAGGAAAAGACAACAGCCAATCAGAGTCAGAATATCTGCTGCGCTATTCACTCATTCATACTGCTTTAAAGACAAAAAGGTTGCACCTTGACACTTTTTATAAAATCTGAGTTAGAATTGATTCACTCTGAAAATTATCTTTAACTGTTAATTTGAACAACATTAAATAAATTAAATAATAAAAACTGGATTTTTCTAGTGAACTGCGATATATTAAGAAGCAAGAGTTTTTATCCGTCAAGTGATGTTGATGTGAATTATTTGTAGTTCATTTATGATGATGATCAAAAATAGTAATACTATTCATTTTATTCAATAATGCAAATAAAACATGTAATAGGTCAACATTAATGCAAAACGAGTTAAATATCATCTTTAAAATCATCATAGGTTTCAGCTCTCGGCGATATCTTTGCCTATCATCGATACACGATACTATCATCTATCGGCACAACCCTGGCATGCACCCAAAGCGAACCTCAGAAAAGTTTGCTATGACGTCACATTCGCCGCGCACACGGAGTTCTCTAACAGAAATTTTCACTCATTCATAATGTTTTAAAGACAAAAAGGTTGCACCTTGACACTTTTTTAAAATCTGAGTTAGAATTAATTCACTCTGAAAATTATCTTTAACTTAATTTAAATAGCATTAAATAAATAAATGATTTATATTCATGGCTAATAAAACTGGATTTTTCCAGTGAACCGCGATATCTTAGGAAGCAAGAGTGCAATCAAAATAATGCATTTTTATCCATCAAATGATGTTGATGTGAATTATTTGTAGTTCATTTATGATGATGATTAAAAATAGTAATACTATTCATTTTATTCAATAATGCAAATAAAACATGTAATAGGTCAACATTAATGCAAAACGAGCTAAATATCGTCTTGAAAATCGTCATAGGTTTCAGCTCTCGGCGATATCTTTGCCTATCGCCGATATACGATACTATCGTCACAACCCTAGCGTGCACCCAAAGCGAACCTTTGAAAACTCTGTGATGACATCACATTCGCCACGCACGAGTTCACTACCAGAAATTTTCACTCATTCATAATGTTTGACACTTTTTTAAAAATCTGAGTTAGAATTGATTCACCCTGAAAATTATCTTTAACTGTTAATTTAAATAACATTAAATAAATAAATAAATTTAAATACATAGCCAATAAAAACTGGATTTTCTAGAGAACTGCGATATCTTAAGAATCATCGTTACTGCAATACTCAACAATTATTGCATATTTTTACAGTATCGTGCAGCTCTAACACCAACAAAGCAATGCTATTTAAAATGGCAGTGATGCAACATGAGGATCAATAACAGCATTAATACTGTGAGTAACTCACTGCACTGATGGAATTAATATTGCTATTGGCACTCACATCTGACTGATCTGACAGTGTTGTTGTTACTGCCACAATTAGTGTTAATGTATGACAGCATTAAAGGAATAATTTTTTCTAAAATATATATATATATATATATATATATATATATATATATATATATATATATATATATATATATATATATATATATATATATATATATATATATATATATATATATATATATATATATATATATATATATATATATATATATATATATATATATATATATATATATATATATATATATATATATATATATATATATATATATATATATATAT